TATGTATGTATGTATGTATGTATGTATGTATGTATGTATGTATGTATGTATGTATGTATGTATATATATTGGTATGTAGGTATGTAGGTATGTAGGAGGGGGCGGGACTAGAGAAAGGAGAAGTAAAAAGGTACATGATGAACAGAGTCTGAGCTATGTCGGGCAGAAGTCACGACATGGGCAATGACGAGACAAAGAGTGAGGGGATTCGATAAGAGAGACAAATATTACATTGTCACGGAAAAGAAAAGTGGAGACTTGATGATGTGCCAAGACCGTCAGGCCTGAGTTCTTTTGGGCTAAAGTGTTAAGGACGACTCTGTTTGGAACTAATGAGGAGGCGAGTGGAAGGTGAGAAGTTTCGTCTCAGACAAATTGTCTGCTGCTTCCTATGATTTAGTGTGAACATGCATGACGGTAGTCTGCCTGGCTTCCGAAGTCATGACAACCTGTCAGGGTGATAAGACAATTCGGCAAACCACTTCGTTAGTCTCACCTCTAAAAAGGCCCACAACCCAGTTGAGTTTGTAGAGCTGTCGAGACGATCAAATAGAATTTTTCATCCCGCCCTAGAAACAAAGTTGGCCTAGCCTGGTTGGGTCAGTCTGCTCCGATGCCCTGACTTACGTTGCTCGAGGCGGCAATCGTCTCATCTACAACTAACGAGTTTGCTCTCCCAGTTGCCTTATCCCCTAGAGGAACGATAGGAGGCTAGGCTCGCTTTGCCTCCTGCAAACCAGCGCTGTTGCATATTTCTCTGAAATATGCATCATCACAGTCTGGCCACATAAGGCCTACTCGAGCCAGAGCTTGACACACATACACACAGACAAAAATACTATGCAATTATTCAAGATCTCCTACTCTTAAAAGTGGACAGTCACCACTGGCCACTTGGTGCTCCAGGACGTAACGGCTGATTGGCTCACAAATGGGTAATAGAAAAGGATTGCAACTTGTCCCAAGGGTTAATTGAACTGCAAACACGGCTCAATGAAGATCCACGAGTACGACTGGGCGTCTTCACGCCTTAAAGTTGAAAGATCGCCAACACTGCCTGAAATGTGCATCGTTCAGTGGGGTCCCGTCGCTGCTAAAACGAATGTTGGGACAAAATGTTCTTTTGTTAGGCCTCATTTTGGGGCTGTTAAGACTATATGGTGGTGGTGTAAAAGGAATATTGGTTGGCTTAAGGATCCAGACGAATCTGCTTGATCGTGATTCCCTTGGGCCATCTGTCTTCTCGAGTTTAACCTAAAAATGTCGGTTAATTACTATTTCGCCTGGCCTATGTTTGAAGTCGTGCTATGACTATCGCCCTGTTCAGAATCTGTCAATCAGGGAAAGAGGAAACTCAGCAGGGTCTTTATTACGATCCTGATTACCTACAGAAAGTCTTGAAACATCAGAGTATAAGAAAAATACCAACGATGCAAGAACAGGTAGGCCGCAAAGGAGATACTTTTTAGACAATTTTACAAATGTATAACTTAGTCAGCCTAGGTCGCTAAAGGTGATTTGGGTTGAGTTTTCCCACAATGCCTTCAGACGGCATTGAAATACCACCAATTTTCACCTATCCCTGCCTCCTGAAAGCTTATCCCATTTAGAGTATACCGAAGCTTCGATCTCATCCATACCAGGTCGTGAGTATTATGGTTACCTTACCACTGCCCGGCGCAGCCACAGATGCTAGTGGGTCACGGGTCGACTAAGCTTCACCCAAATCTCACTTATGGTTGATTAAAAAGATTAAACAAACATGCATTATCCATTTCACTCGACGAAGTTACTTATTTTCGTTATAAGAAGGTCTCGATAGAATCAGTAATTTGTGTATAAAAGCTTAATCACTATTAGCCGTTTAAATTTATTTAATAAACGATATTTGAATTTTCCAACAATGAAATTAATAGGCGCCGCGAGACAATATTCAGCGAAATCCAATGGCCTCATGAGGCCTACCCATTTGGTTGCCTTAAGTGACATATTGCGACTAAATTCATATTCAAGAAGTACTGATAATCTCGGAATCTAATAATACCGAAAATTCTGCATTATCTTATTTGATCCACCTCATGCAGCAAATGTGCAAAAGCTTATTTCTTGCTGTACCATACCGCAATGAAAATCTCATGGGATCGTGAAAAAGTTACTAGATTAAGTGTACAGGAAAAAATATTGTAAGAATGTCCTTCTAGGGACAGGAGTAGAAAATATTCATGCTGGAGTATGTACTGCAGGCTAGCTGCCTATCCATGGACAGATATTCGATTCTGGTACTAGAAGTCGATTTAAATAATAAATTGACTAAGAACTATATTTACTTTAAGTGGCTTCAGGTAATGAAAGACTCGATGAATTTTCTCATGGTGCGATAAGTA